ATTAGGCGCAGGAGCTGTCTGGGCAAGCCCGAAGCATTGGCATAGCAGCTGCCGGGGATGCACGTTTTTTCTGAATGGGCAGCAGATGTAGCCCCGGCGTCTGCCACTGCATCATGATCCCCATCTTTGGGGCTGAGACAGGGGGCCCAATCTCTGTTCTCTGCTCCTTTGCAATTGGATCGATCTATGGGCTGGATCGTAAACCGAACTCGCAAGGAAGCCAAGACTCCCACCTCCCTCGTGCCTTGCGTAAAGGGACTGTTCGCCCCTCAGTAAAACTCTGGGGCTGTGTCTAGACTGGCCAGTTTTTCCAGAAAATCAGCCGCTTTTCCGGAAAAACTTGCCAGCTGTCTACACTGGCCACTTGAATTTCCGCAAAAGCACTGACGATCTCATGTCAGATTGTCAGTGTTCTTGAAGAAAAGCTGTCTACACTGGCAGCTTGAATTTCCGCAAAAGCACTGACTTCCTACTGTAAGAAATCAGTGCTTCTTGCGGAAATATTATGCTGCTCCCATTCAGGCAAAAGTCCTTTGCGCAAAACTTTTGCGCAAAAGGGCCAGTGTAGACAGCTCAGATTTGTTTTCTGCAAAAAAAAGCCCCGATTGCGAAAATGGTGATCGGGACTTTTTTGCGGAAAAGCGTGTCTAGATTGGCCACGGACGCTTTTCCGCAAAAAATGCTTTTGTGGAAAAGCGTCCATGCCAATCTAGATGCGCTTTTCCGAAAATGCTTTCAACGGAAAACTTTTCCGTTAAAAGCATTTCCGGAAAATCATGCCAGTCTAGATGTAGCCTGGGAGGTTTTGGTTGGCCAGCTCCCAGTATTAAAAGGGGAAGGGTCCATGAGAAATCGGGGCCCTGACATTGACAGACCCCAGGGACAATGGGAAGAGGCCGACACTCCAGCTCAGTCTGACCGGTTCAATGGGAGAATTAGAAGGCCAGGTCCCGACCTCCGTCCTCCGTGTAAGCTGGGATTTTCTGGGTCTGAGAAAAGGAGAGCTGAGAAGAGCTGCGGAAGAGCAAGCTGTGTGGAGACACAGACCTGCAGTGAGAGAGCCAGGCGCACGCAGCCCGTGGAGCGCAGACCCTGTGCTGAGCAGCAGACCTGCGGTGACCAGAGAGCCAAAGGGGTCAGCGAAGCAACACAAGGCGCTGGAGTCTGGCAAAGCAGCACAGTCTGCAGCAGGGTGTGGTGAGCAGCTGGAACCAGCAAATCGGGGAAAAGAGACTCAGGCCACCAGCCAAGAGGCCCTGCAGCCAGACTCGGAGAGGGATTGTAACTCCAACTGGGAGAGGGGTCCTGCCACCTAGAGCCTGCGGCTCACGGCCAGAGCAACCGTGTCCAACCTGCAGCCCCCCTGCAGCACAGCCAGAGCCTGAGAAAGATCCCTGGGACCTATAAGGAGCAGACTGTGAACTGTCCTTACGCTCTGCAGACGGCTGTTTGTGCTGTCCCCGCGCTACAGAGCGGGGCTGTGTGTTCTCATTGAACCTGTCTCGTTTCTCCTTATTCCTTTCTTTTCTTAATCAGTTGCTGTTTAGCAAATTGTATTTGCTTTGAACTGTATGAAATGATCAGTAGGTCACGAAAGCATGCAGTGTGCAGAGAGCACCCCGGAGTGGGGACACCCTAGTCCCTGCCCCAGCTGACTACAAGGTTGGGGTTTAAGCCCCAGAAAACCTGGACCCAGCCTTGTTGGGATTTCGAGGACTCAGGTACTCAGCAGGGGAGCCCTCAGGGGCAGGGAGGCTATCGGGTGAAAGAAATGGGAGCGGGGACTCAGATCCGTTCGCTGGTCCATTTCACCAGGTGGTATATAAGCCAGGAAAGTTCCCCACAATAGCGGGACCGTTCCCCCGCTTACACTTGCAATAACGCTTTGTTAGTTCTATCGAGCTTGGATTTCTCTGACATTGAACCAACTTTCCCGCAGCCCTCTGCCGGCTGGGCCCCTGGGGTCCGTCCCGCTTTCCAGCTGTGGACAGGAAGGAATGGAGTCGGAAGTGAAACCCCTCAGGACTTAGCAGTAGAGTCCATCTCGGCACCTGGCTTTTCTGAGTCCCGTTCCACATCTAGGCCATCTTCCTGCTGCTGCGACTCCACCCTGGGATGGGCGTGGGGCGGGGCGGCATGAGCCTGCCCCGGAGTTTCCACCACTTAGCTCAGTCAGCAGGGCTTTCTCTGTTCAGATGCACTCGCAGAAGCCGGTGGCAGAACTGGAAAAGCCAGCCGGCTGGAGGAAGGCATGGTGTTGGCTGAGCCGTGGGTGGGGGAGCTCGGTAAAAGGGTGGGAGTTGCGGGCTGGGATTAAGGTGTGTGTGTTTGGCCGAGCTGCGTGTGTACCGGGCCGGAATGGCTCAGCGTCCGGCACGCTCAGCATTAAACAGAGAGAATCCTTGAGGGACGTGTGGCCGGTGCTGGCTTGTGCTTCGTGTTGCTGGGTTTGATGGATGCCTTCCTGGGGGTTCCCTCACACGACATCCTTAACGATGAGTCCCAGGTGACTTTAAGGTCTGGGCACCCTTCTGGCTCCTTTAATCGTTGACCGTGCATAGAATCCTGCTTGCATCCCTGCCCCCCGAGTCCCTCTGAAATCCCCTCCAGCGGCAAGCAGCCATAGCCCAGCCAACTCCTCTTAGCACATTCAATGCCCAGCTGGGCCTCAGTTTCCCCATCTGTAAAATGGGTGCAAGGGAGCCTTGCAGGGAACAAAAATTAAGGTGTTTTCTCAGGCACCGGAGCAGCTGGGCTTTCAAGATCACCCCTTGGCATCCCCGAGCTCTCAGAAGTGACTCCTTTTTTTGTTTTTTGGCTTAGTTTATTGACAATAAATAATACAATATTACAGAGCTCTGAGTGCAAAGTCCAAAAATCATATCCTTCATGCACCAAATAAACAAGGGATCGCCGACACCAGCCAGTGCAGGAAAACGCAGCACCTTCCGGGGCGGGGGAGAAAGGTTTGGGGTGTAGGATGCATCACAAGGGAAACCAGACGGCCCCCAATGATCTGACAGAACCAGACTAGAACAGCGGTTCTCAAGCTGCGCTGGCTTGCAGACTTCATTGGAACGACAACATTTCCCTCACGATCCCAGGAAGGGGGCCAAGTCTTGCGCCCGCCACGCGGCAATACCAAAGCCAAGCCCCATGGAATCCTAAGCCAGTCACGGGGAGCCGGTGAAAAGGGGGTCGTGACTCTCTTTGGCGGGGTCCCAACCCTGCGGTTGAGAATAGCTGGACTAGAGCATCTTAAAAAGCATCCTCCAGAGCATCTGGGCCTGCTCTTTTTTGCTTTCCCTGGCCCACGCGGAGGATGGAGAGGCCTTTAGAGAGAGGCTGTGCCCCCGGCTACCCTGGGGTTAATTCCTTAGCGCTCAGGGAGCGGCGTGGGGGTCTCAGGAGAGGCCGCGGG